TGTACAAATAGTAGTATTTCTATATAGTTACTATGTAGTTACTATTTTTAAATTACTAATAAAGATACGAGCAAGGCTTCACCTTAATACCAAAAAAAAAAAAACACAATATTAATACACAAACTAGTAGAAGATCATTTAATATATAACTATATTGGTTGAACAATTACCAAGATCTACTGTTTAGCACTATTGTATAAAAATAATAATACATACCAACAATTATTAAGACCCGGGTAATTGTTTACTATCCTATCAGTATTATTCTTAAATAATATCTGGTGGTATGTTTCTATTTTTTGTGTAATTTATATTATGGTTTTATATAATAATTTGCAGATATTAATTAATTTAAAATAAGGCCTTGGTACTATTGTTATGTATAGTGCAAAATGATCAACCCTTATCAGGTTAAACTTTCAACAAGTACTACAGCAGAAAAATAATTTAATAATAAAAATATTTTTGAATTAGCATTTAAAAATAAAAATATATAATTCAAACAATACTTATAGTTATCTATTAGAGAAACATTTAGCAAAAGTCAAAAAATCTTTATTTGTCGCCACATATTCATATATATTTACATTTAACTCATAAAGAATCGTGATTACCTGTAACTAAGTATAAGACTAGGCTTGGAGTCAATTAATAATCAAACTCCGCTCTAAGAAAATAAATATAAGGGCAAACTCGTTAAACTTTTTATGCCTTTTTCACTTTTTTTACCTCTTCCCAAACACTGTAACTCAAAAACTTCTTACATCTTTTTTTACTTTTTCACCTTTTTTCTGACTACTATTACTCAAAAACTTATATCTTTTTTTATCTTTTTGCTTTCTTTCCAAATACTTTTACTCAAAATCTTTTTATACCATTTTTATTTTTTTCTTATTCTTCCCAAATATATTACTTAAAAACTTCATGATTCTTTTTAACTATTGTCTTAAATACTGTTGCTCAAAGTCTATTAAGCATTTGTTATAATTGAGTTTATAAGCTTAAATTAGCATAAAGTAAATCACTTCTTTCTTAAAGTTATCCAGAAAACCATATATATATTTTTTAAAAATATATATTCATATATATATCTAACTATTTTAATGGTATTTTTTATTATTAATAATTTTATGATTCAGTCAATCTATTTAAAAATGAAAAGAATAAGAACAAAAAAAACAACTAAAAAAGTTGTATTAAGAAAACATATTATACGTATAATTCCTGAAAACTTACAGAAAGAATGTTTACCAATAAGCAATAGAGATGATAGTAGTGAAAGTTTATATGAAAATTTCTTCAATAACAAAAGTTTACAAAAAAATTTTCTGATATTGAAAGCTTGGCAGAGAATTTTTCTAATAGAAATTAGCATATAAATGATGATCTTGAATTCAGTTTGTTTATAGCTTCAAATATGTCTAGTAGTAATGATCAGTTAATGGTTACAGAAGAATTCAAACAAATTATAGTTAGATAGTAGAATTGATTTTTAGCTACTATCCAAAGAATACAGCCCATATTTTAAAAATTTTACAGAGATATCACTTTTTATTTAGGTTACAAAGCATATGATCAGTAAGTATTATTAGAAAAATAAGTTGTTATTTTTTACTGTAATAATCTATTTATTTTGTTTAATTATTATTAATTTATTATTACTAGTAGAGGTCTGAACTGAATACAAATTTATTACCCAGGTCACCCGTATAACTTTGAAATCAAGTACCTGGGTGAAAACAGGTTATATAATACAAAGTGAAAAAATGCAAAAATTCTACTTAGCATTACAGTTTTATGCTAGAAAGAGTTAGTGTAATGAACTTAGTACACATACATGTTAAGGTTATTTAAGCGAAAATAGCTAGAATGATATTTAATTGAAGCTTAGATTATCATAACTATACGTATTGGTCTATTATGCAGTTTTTAGCTAAAATATTGATTTATTTATTTTTATAATTTAAAAATGAAATTACATCAGAATTTCTTTTTAAAAACATCATTTTATTTACTAACTTAGAATCTAGTTGTGTATATTTTGCAGTAATACAATTACCTGCATCTGAAAACAACCTATCACTGAGTACAGAGGATGCAGAAATTGACAAATACTTTTTGACTAACTTTGCTAATTATCTTCGGCAATAGGAGTTTATGTGGAATCTAGATAGCATTCTAATTTGGCTAAAGGATTGAAAGCAGTGTAGCTTGAAGCAGATGTACTAAAAATTGAGATATGTAAACAATTGCAATAAAGATTGTTACTATTTGAAGAAGTAATATATATTAATGCTGTTGTTTATTCATAATTTGAAGTAGCTATATTTTTAAATTGATGAGTTAACTTAGCTTTGGCTCTTTCTTGGGTTTCTTCATCCCAATTAGAAAGTGTTCTTAGTCGTGAATTCAAAAGTGATGCCAACAAACTGACTATCAGTGGTTTATTCCAATAATCAAATAAGGAATTATAGATTGTTTAGCACATTGACTTGATGATTTGAGAAGAATCAACAGTTAATTCTGAAGTATCAAATTCTAAATTATCACTATCATCATCTGATAATTCTTCGTGGCAAAAGTTAGGTTTATCTATTTAATCAATTTAAGATATATAAAATATATCAGGAAAACTTTGGCTTTCAATAGCTATTTATTTTCTAATATATAGTAAATATTAGTAGCTTAATACTACTAATATTTACTATATACTATAAAATAGATAGTTATTGGAAGCAATAATAGATAAGATGTATATAATAAATGATATACTTTGTTTATTGTTTTGAGCATCACTTGTTATATCGAATTCAACAAATATATATTTAAGTGCTTCAATTAAAGAATATATAATAGATAAGGTAGCATACTGTGAACCACTAAAATAAGTAGTGGCATCATCAAATGGCTCTAACAAAGTAACGATTTGATTTAACAGATCCCACTTATGTGGCAAAAGAAGCAGCTTTTTTTAATTTTTGACTATCAGCTTGATCATCGAATTGTTAAATAAAAATAGTTTTGCATATAGCCATTCAACTGCTTTATGTAATTTAAGTAGCCATTTCTATAAATAGTATTTTAAATTCTATCTCGTATTTATATCTGCTATATTATATAAAATAGGTGTTTCAGAATTTGCAATATTTACTGATGAATCACTACCACCAGAATTTAACACATCAGTCAGGCAA